TTACATGCGAAACCGTAAATAGCGAAACCCTAGTTGCCTCCACTGCTCAGAAACTCAATTCGCTCCAATGGGTGTCAGGTTTATTCCCTGCCCATAGCGATTTTCGGGACTGTATTTAAGATAGAACGCGCTCTTCAAACTTCGGTCCGTTGATGTAGAAACGTACGTATGAAATTCTTTGGATTCAGGATTTAAAACTGCATGTGTGTGAATGTACGACATCAGACCAGTGGATGGTATGCTGGGGTGCTGTTTGTTTCTTTTAACGAGGCGGGGCATTGGAGGAGGATCTGCAAATGGTGTGCCAAAGAGAAAGGCAAGGTAGACAAAGAAGAGAAGAGTCAAAATCTGAATTGTCAGCTGTCAAACAACCCCTACCATGACAGAAGATAGAGTACATGGCTTCTTCGTAGGCCATTCTGCAGCTAGCAAAGTTCAACGCCATGATGTGCTTTGCCGGGACGTTGAACCATATGCGGGCGGAGGGTAACAAGGGTGTTGAGTGGCTGGATGTTGACCTTGGCTGATTAACCCTGTCTCCCTCGCATGTAGGATTCCTCATCGGATCGACTTTCCGAGAAGTGTCAGAGACGTTTCGAAGATGGGCCTGCTACTGTCAATGCAGCTCACCTCATCCAGACTGGATGAGAGGAGATGACTTCAGCCAAGGCTTTGCGGGCAGCGCGGCCGCGGTGGGCTGACCCCGCGAAGGATCCAATTGAACTTTGACCGTGGATTGGGACGGGACGGGATAGGCATTTGGAGGGTCAAGTCGAACCCAGCCTAGGTACTAAGCCAGCGCCGCAGCCACGAATTCTAGTCGTAGTCTACCGCGCTTCTGGCGGCGTTTCGTCTCTTCGTCCCGGCTCTAACAAACTCCCGGTTTAGTCTATTTACAGCCGTTTCTCCGCGATGCAGTGCGTGAGTACTAATAAGGTACCAGCACATGTCCCAGGCCTGGGGAGAAGGGGGGGCGTCCGCGTTTGAGAAGTTGGTGGCCTAATGCGAGTGTACGGATAGTCTATTTGAAGACGAACCAATCCCTGCTGGCGCTGAGAAGAGAACCACCGAGATTCGAACTGACACTTGAGACGAAATGTTCAAGCTGAACCAGCGCGGATCTATAATGAGTCGAAGCGTGTATCAGCACCTGTCCGTGCTAGCAGCTCCCTCGGTGTGGCTACACACTAGCAAATTGACGCGGTTGCGCCATCTCAAGAATGGCATAGCTGGAAACATCCGGGGAACTGGTCGTGTTGCATGGTGTTATGGAGGATGGAGGTGGAGGGGAGAAATTATTAGAGATGGAGATTCTGGAGATCAACCAATTTAACTCGACAGTTGCCCTATCCTAGCACAAGCTCCTCGAGCAAGAGCCTTTCCAGATCAAGTAACAAGTGCCTGAGCTTCTGATCCATCATGTTTCTGACAGTTTTTTTCTTCTTCTTTCGTTCAGATGCTATGTAGTTGTTCTGGCTGAGTTGTAACTCGGAGAACGCTTTTGATTCAAGTGGGACAACCTGGGACGGGAACTTTGACATCTGGTCGTGTACTAGTCAAGGTAGGTAATTTAGATGTAACCATAACAGCTAACTAACTTAATTACCAACTTTGACAGGTAATGTACAGTATGTGCCTCCCAAATCGACTAGGCATTGCGGATAGTGAGAGTTAAAATATCATCGCGCGCTATCGTTCTGATTTCCCGCCAGAATCCAAGGTCGTCATGCTGCAGGAACCAAAGATTTTTAGCTGCATTCATCCTCTCCCTCTTACAGATACGCTTACATACTTGTACATACGTGCATCCATTGGATCTAACAATAGAATGGTAGATAAGTACATAGAAGCCGGACCGAAGAGACGACACAGCACCTGCAAGCAATTTACCCTGGTTGCCGGCTGTCTTCCATCACAACGGCTAAATCAGCTCAAGCCTGCGCATACAATTTCCCTCTTGGTATAGCTTCCCACGGACTCGGCTGAAAGCTGAAACTGCTTAGCCTTGCTCCTGGTTGGTGGCTCGACCTTTGAGCCTCTTCCGTGAGCAGGACCACGATTCTCTGGGCCTACGTCTGTACAAAGTATCTCTATCGTGCTGCGACGTCGCGAGCAGATGGCGTGGGGCATGCTATCCCGACTTGGAACAGCTTGCGACCCCCTGGCCACCTTAGTCGAGGTACGTAGCCTACCTATTCTTAACTCTCCAAGTTAGCTCTCGTCTCTCTCCGCTGGCAATGCAGGCAGTCAGTCCAGATTGAGGCTAAAACTTCAGGGTTCTGAGTAGGTACCTTAGCTTAGGGAGGTACCCACAGTGAAGAACACCATGCCGTTTGTGTTTCTTGCATACGCCCAATCAACACATACTAGTAGGTATGTGCTTGACCTGCCCAGCAAGTTACATAGCACATACCTCTCAACAATAGACAAATGTCGGGAACGCACCCCAATTTCAACAACAACAACAACAACAACAACAACAGCCAACTGGGTCGTCGACTAACAATGCATCGGCCAATGTAACACGATCGATCCGGGATCACTAGGCACATACCATACCATACTAGCCAGCATCATCCAATTCGCCTTATCTGGGCACAGCTCTACGTAGCCGCCTTATGCGCAACATCTATCAACACATAACCCCAAGCCACAACCAACTAACTACCTTAGTGATCGCCTCAACATCCTCTGTCAAGCCACCTCTCAATTGGCAGTTGCCAGCTATATCCCTGGAGACGCCGCCTTCTTGACGGCACAGTCTCGGAGCATTGCCCACAACTTGGTATGAAGAATAAACCACTCAGTATCAACGGACACGGGCACGACAGCCGACGGGACGACGTCAATAGCATGGCCGAGTGCCTGTGGCTGCGGCCATGCGGAGTAGCGTCCCTGTCTTCTGTCTTCTTTTCGTCTTATCTCGCTTGACCAAGCAAGAGGAACTTTGATGCTGTAAGAAGCCACCAGGAATAGTAACTTACATCTCTCCTCACTCATCCAGTCCCAGTGCCTGGCCTGGCCTCGGCATCTCCCGGTTTGAGACATATTTATCATATGCTTGTGCGTGTCCCAGGCTCAGCTGCTCCAATGCTGCCGCAACGGTCTCATACCTGCCAATTCTCATTCTGCCAGCATGAGTGACACCCCAGACTGTCTAGGTTTGTGACACAACCATGTTCAGGAAGCTTATTAGGCGGCCGAAACCCCTGAAGGAAGTTTTCCCGCAATGGAGTATGTGTCAACTTGCAGTTAACATGCCGCTGCGCCTCTCGGCGACCCTCACCGAGCAAGGACGGTTTTAAAAGGGGGCACGACTACTGTTGTGGGATGAATTGTCCATCCAGATACTGGTACGCATTTCAAAATGTTCGTCTGGAGGTTGGACCGACTATCCTCAAGTACGGATACCCTGGCCGGCCTGGATCTCTCAGCACTGGAATTCCTTGTTGACCCTGGTACGGACAATTTATCCCCTTGTGGAGATCATGGTTCGGACGGGGCTCTCAACGCCATGATCTACACCAACCCGTCATGCTAACCAGCAAGGGCGAACCGTTGCTCGAAACTGCCGGCAAAACAATGGACAGGCTTGGCTCGTCTGCTTCTCGAATTCTTCAGTGCAGGCTTCCTTGGCGCCACAATGCTAGGATGGTCCCCCGTCCTCGTCTCACAAGTCTGCTAGCCTAGCCTAGCACCACGGCCTATGACTTGACTTGATCTGACGGCTACCCGAATGCATGCTCGTTGTTGACTTTCTTTGGAGCAGCTCGAAATTACCTATCGACTCAGTGGAAGGACGCATCTCTTTAGTCATTGTCCTAATGCATGCAGCACCGTGCCTGTGCCACCGGGCTAGGACCGACTGCCGCACTCATAGCCTAGCATAATTACAATGATGATGCTGGTTCCCGCTGCAAGTATACGCTTCGGTCTCTCTCTTCTGGCCATCTCCATTTCCCAGAATCTCTTCTACGGACTGCTTTGCTCAGCACTTCAATCCTGGCCAGATTGGCCTCCCACGTACATAATTCCATACGTACATCTCATAAGAACCCTTGATCCTTGGTCCATCCTCGTCTCGTTGATCCACACCCTTCAGCCCTCCGTTCTTGACCCCCCGACCCCAGTCGCAACCCCAAACGACTACCGTCTTCAGAACCCTACCGGCCGCTTCATGCGTTATCCATCTAGTCATAGCTTTTAGCGACCTACATACTTTTCTGTCGTAGTGGATTCGTCTCATCTCTTCCCATTCCCCTACTTTGTCGCATGTTACCAAGCCCTCCCTGGCATAGCCACTGGGTCTGAATCAGATCTCTCGCTTTCCAGTATCCTCCCCGTCTTCCTCCGTCACTAATTGGAGCCTGGACCTTTGATCAAAGCGGCTCCGATGATCTGAAGCTGAGAGGACCCTTTTTGACAGCGATAGAACAGTAATTGATCCTGGTCCTTGACAAGATCGGCAACCTGAAATCTTCGGTTCAGCGGGTCAGACTCGATCTATCTGACACTCCTGTCACTCTTCTCACCCCTTCGCTATGCGTGAAAAAAACAAATAGCATCTGTCTGCCAAGTTTCATGTTATTCTGCACCGAACCTAGACCCCAGTCTTCTGGAAGACGTACAAGAAACAGCCGTTCCCCTGACAGTTAAACGAATTGTCTCTCCAATCACTTCGCTCTTCATCCTTTTTACTTCGTTTCTTCTTCACCTATCTGTGGAGTGTCTTCGCATTATAATCGATAATTAATCCGGAACGAGGTTGATCCTGTTTCTAGTACCTTGCGGCGGTTATCACGCGATTGTGATCCCCTGAACCTCTACCATTACCAGAAAGACGACTTCGAATCCCAATGCTGTAATCAAGCAAAACACACACGCCCATCACCAGTCTTTTTCACGAATCAAGTGGCGCCAATTGCATATTCTGCCGGTTCCATAGTCACTCCATTCTAATACGGCCTCTGTTCGGACAAGTCTATACACAGACCTGAATCATGAAGATTGAGTCAATTCTAAACCAGTTCAGCGAACTTGACACGGAAGCGAGAAATAGTCGAGAAAGCCCGCAGCTTTTCAATGAGCAGAAGGAACAGAGAGGCCCGTCATTGTCACTGTCGACTCCGTCACCCGACTGCACTCAGTCTAGAACATCTAGTGTGCGATCCGATAGTCGAACTCGTACGCCCTGGGATGCTGGTGGTTACTCTCTGCCAAGGGATATTGGCCCCAAGAACTCCTCGCGGCCTCCTTTCACGCCAGTGCCTTGGGAGGAGCAGCAAGAATCTGCGAGACGTCAGAATGCATCTAATCACCACCCCAGACAAGTATCAATGGATACATCGGCCAGTATAAGTCTTCCTGGTTCCGCAGGATCATATGCGCTACCAGTCCGGTAAGAAAACTCAGAACCACAACCCGTTACGGGCATGACAAGCTTGAGGTTGACATTACTTCAAGTAGAATGCCTTCCACTCCAGAAGTCCATCAAGATGCTTGGGCGCCGAAAAGGTACTCCCTTTCTTGCACGCTGGTGTATATTCCGGCCGGTGTTCGGCGATCTAGCTTGGCTAACACGACTAGTAACCACAGCGAGCGCCGTGCTTCTCAGCATATGAGAAGGTGAGTTGCGGTCCTGCCAAGATGTCAGTGTTGTTGTTATCAATGATATCCTGCACACTGGCGGCCCAATCGCAGGAGTATACATACTAAAATGAATCAAGATCAAGTCTCTGGACGGAATACAACACGTCGCCAGCTTCAGCCAGCCATAAGATTTCAGACAGCCGCAGCAGTTTCTCATCTTGTTGCTCATCGACCTTCTCCGCTGGCCATTCTAGATTCTCATCGGTATCTACCATCAATGGGAGTAATACGGTAGGCTCTGGCATCGCTGACCTGGAGGCAAAATTGGAGCGGCTTCCAAGGATAACAGCGCCTCTCCCTCCAGTGACAGTCGGTCTGTCTGTGAAGTCGCATGCTCGTCAGCGTACCAATGGTGCTGGGTCGTTGTACTTGGGTAGCCCATCTGACACGATTCTAGAGGCGAGGATGATGAGAAGAAAGCACAACCACTTGTCAGAAGATCAAACGTAAGTTAGCATCTCTTTGTTCCTATGCAGAAGAAGATGGCCGTCAGCATGAATCGAAGTTCGTTCATTGTTTGCCCCTTGTCAATCGTCCAAACCATGCATGCGTATCGTTTGCTTGCACACCCCCGAAAAGGAAAAAAGGGGGTAAAGCAGCGTCAAGCTGCATGGAAGCCTCACGGATGCATCTTTGGCAGTTCGTGAATGACGGGCAATGTTCCTATTGTCAGGAGAAAAACGATTGCCCGCTGCAGACGCATTTCGGATGGATTATGTTTAGTCATAAAAGCTGGTCCGTTAAGCGGGAGGAACTTGGCCCTCGAAAGCAGCATTGTCCCACTACCAACTTGGCCTCGAGCCGGTGAATCACACTGCGTGTTTATAGCTCTGCTCAGGCAGCCTGAAAAATGCTTGCATTCTTCTAGCCCCCCGTCCACCTTTCACTCCTTATGTCCTCGCACATTCCCCTTGCTGTCTAATGTCACTTTCAACCTATAAATTTCCCACCAGGAATATACTGACTCTGTTCCTTTTATTCAGCTATTTGAAGCCAAAAGATCAGTTCCTGAACTCGTTAGATCGCGTTCACAAGCGAACCATCTCGGCACCAAGCCCCGCCCAGGGCTCTAGTCATTCTTTTCCTCAAGCACCAACTTCTCTGCCACAATTTACGTCCCGACAGCTTCATCCTCCGACACAACTGTCACCACAGATCAACACATCTCACGATCGTCTCGGCATCGAGAAGTATCCCTGGATCAATACGGGAGAGAGCTCTCCTGCAACTAGTAGTGCATCAACAAGATCTCCCTTCCAGCCTCCGGACACTGTGAGGATGCAGTCCAACGGGACTCTTCCAGGTAATCTTCCCCTTCCCGGTATTCTCTTTTGAAGTCAACTAACGAGTGTAGGTGCATCTGGACAGGCAGCGTACCATGCTAACCCAAATGATCGTGTGCTTGCTGCATTGCATACATTGGAGGACGTGACCATCGACGTTCCCCTTCAGGGTGGTGACGTTTGTATGGCAGTTACCGAATGCACCACTAATTCGGTACCTCGCAAGGTCATCTCTCATCTTTTTGGCCGCAACAAGGTCTGCACTCGTCGCATTCCGGAGCGTGTCTGGGTTTGCATGTGTCGCAAGCACTATCAGAGGATTCGCTACCGAACCGGTATCAGATTCAGCTTCACTCAGATCAAGCTGGTGTACGAGCAGATCATCCGAATGATCTTCTGGAGCCGAGGTCTGGAGAATGCCAGCAGAACTAATCAGGAGGGCATAACAATCCGATCCTGGACATTCTCGATTCGAAGACGTGAGGTTAAGCGCCTGGCGGACACCAACAGTCGGGATCCCATCCCTCACTGGATCACGCAGAGCCTTGGCGAAGGCAAGACGCACGATGAGATTCTCGATGTTATTGAACGCCTTTGCCAAGAGATCGATCACGGCGATCTCAGAGAAGTTCCTCCTGTCGAGTTCCTCCCAGAGGTTGTTGATGCTTTCACGAACTCGCATGCTCAAGTCCAGGCCCATCGGACATCGGTCAGCAGTCAATCCGGCCGTTCGTCTTTGATGGCCGGGGAGCCAGTTCCATCCCCCCTCCCATTTGTCAAGGAATCGTCGCCCCTCGAACCAGTTCAAGAAGAGGGATCTGCGAGTGAGCATTCTAGCCAGCAATCGTCATCGTCGGCCACACCTCCTGCTGTTTTCAGCGGATCTCGACCTGTTCATCACTCCCGATCGTATACCGACGATATCTCCAACCGGACTGCTCCCTACTCATTCGGCTCTCGGTCTCCCCTCGCGAACTCTGGCGTCGGGCCAGGCAGTGATCGACAACCCAGTCTTGGGTACTATGACAGTCAGAACCCAACAGCACCTTCAATGAGCTATTCCAGTATTAATCGTCATATGCAGGCGCCGATGACCGATCACCGAGGTTCCTGCGATAACGCCCCTTATTACCAACAGTCTTATGGCGGCGATCACTACGATGGCCCAAATGGATTCGTACTGACTGATAGAAACCTCTCGATCCATACCGCGGCTATGCCAATGGTGGCCAGAGCGGATCAGATGTATGGCACCGCAGGCTATGCTGCCCAACACAGCCGAGACAACCACCAGTTCCTGGCGTCGACAGTCAATAATCAACTCACGCCCGCGCCGCTCAACTATCCCTCTTACGGGACTCCTCCTTCCCAGGCCTCAGGAGCGGATTACTCGTATCCAATCCCGGAAGAACGTCATTCTCAGTTTAGAATGAGCGGAGTAGACAACTCACTGCATCATTCCATGACAGACGAACGCCCGTACTCTGATGCTCCGCGTTCACAAATCCACCAGCCCTACTGGTTTTCTGCCGAGACTGGGTCGAACACGAGGATCGGCCGCTCTATGAACCAATACCAGCAGTACACATTGGCTTCCTTTGACCAAGCTAGTCTCCGTTCCTCGCGCCAGTACCCTAATGAAGAAGTTACAGAGTATGGCGTTGCTGATCTGGTTACTGATGAAGGTGTCCCGACCACGCGATCAGCAATGGCCTATCGTCCAAGATTCAAACACGGCTACGCATCTCCCCCCGAGTTCGACGACACTCTCGCTCGAGGCAATTACCAGGCCTATCAACACAATCTTTCAACCAATGGCGATGAAGAGAACATCCACGGTGATCGAGCTTCTGACAGCAATCGCCAGTAAGGAACAGATTTCCTGAATGATGGTAGGGAGCGCAAGTTTTTGAGGCCTGGCTTTGTATGCCACTTGCGAAGCTTCCTGTTTTGCCTCCTTTTTCTTTTTGATACGAGCTGCACGACGTTGATGACTTTATCTAATTTGAATTGCTTCCCCGTCTGGGGCTGTTCATCACTGCTGAACTGAAAATATTGCTCTCTTAGCACTCGCCTGCCCCTACCCCCTTTTTTGGTATTTCCGGCCCGTTGTCTGAGTGTATCGCCCCTTGAAGCACCTGAGGAAGCACGGCGACACAACAATCAGGCATGTTTCTGCATGACTTGGCACAGGGCGGACTTTTTGCTTGATATGATTGCTCCATCGTCTGGGATGGGGATTTGCTATTATGGAGATGCTCATGACATAAAAGCTCATAACCTTGCTGGTCTGAAGTGGCCCTAAGTAGCCAGATAGATGATAGATGAATGACACATCTGAACAAGATCGATGAGGAATCGTGATGCGATTCTGGTTAATGGCCCTATGTGACGTCCGCTTTTCTTTTTTGAGAGATATTCGTGACTGTTATGAGATCTAGCGATGGGTGCAGAGTCCTGATGATCAATCCCCCCTGAACATGATGATGCCGCCGTCCCAGTCCTTCAACTCTCCAACATTGGCCCTGGCCACTTCTACGTAGCCAAAACGCTTGTAAAATTTGTCGAGCCCACGCAATCCCACCAGCCAAGTGGGAACTCCTGCACGATCGGCCGCCTCCAAACCATGCTGAAGGAGGAGGGAACCATAACCGCTACCTTGGACACGAGGAGAGACCCCAAGGCTAGACAAATACCAAGCTGAACGACGCCGGGGAGAGTTGAGTATGTCGGGTTCAATGGTAGTGAAAACGCGATCGTAAATACCAAGTCGATGAGAGTCTACGTGACGAAGGGGAAATATATAGGAGTGTACTTTCAGGGCCGCCAACATGATTGGGGCAACCCAAGCGTCTGAATGAGTCAGTGCTTCAAACAGGTTTTGGTATTCGCAGGATTTGAGTGGATAATGCAACAGTTGGCAGAGATTTAATGGAGAGACTTACGAAGTGAGAGCCATCGCTCACGGAAAGACAGGGAGTCGTCCGGTATATGCCACCAAGTGAATGCCACAGTCCTGCCTCTGGCATCATCCAGCATAGTGAGAACGTAACCGGGCGTCCAGTAGCGCATACGAAAGCGCCGAGCAACCCACTCACGAAAGGGAGTTGAGTCGGTGTGACGGCTTGGGAACATGAAGTCGAGCAGAGTTTCTTTGTCGAAGCTCTGCATATAAAGATCTGTAGCCACAGTGAGATCGGCAGTGGTGCCGGGGCGGATGTGATGGGTCATCTCTGCGGTTTTAATATGCTATGATGGCCCTTGAAGGTGAGTAATGACTCCAGTGATAAGATCCGAGTGTCAGTCCGGTACAAAAATAGGTGTTAGATCGGTCTTCGGGAAGTGTTTTGGAGATCAACTGCACAACTTCAGCCTCTGGAGCTGCGTATCGGTAGATATATAGTTGCTTAATTAACGTAGGGGGGTTGCTTTTAAGGGATCAATGAACCTAGGTAATCAGTCACCAAGTGATTGGCAAAGAATATTCTCCATTCAATGGACTTTGGTTTCGTTCAAACTGGAAAGGTTTGCACCTCAAGCAAATATCAATCGACATTTGCAACTATTTAGGCAAGGCCTAAGGCGGGGATAAGTCTATCAAGCTGCCATAACGGGTTTTACGCCGGGTGAGTCAGTACCGTAAGGTAGGTAGTTCATGTTAATTCCGAAAACGCTCGGATTTTGCTCTGACATGGAGAGCAGGGGTCCTCTCGCTTAACCGCCTATCAGGGAGTGTATATGGCATGCTCTCTATTCAGCTTGATGGGCAGGCATGCATCTGGCTGATATCGCGGCTTTTCTTCTTTAAACCTGCTGGCATTGCGGGAAATATTCAACGGCCACCTTGGGAGACATGCACTAGAGTTTCGTGAGCTTAATTTAGCAACTACTTGCTGAACATGGAAAGACAAGACAGGGTTATACCAGCATCAAGAGCGCGAAGGAAGTAGGTGCCTTAGTCTACGGCCCTGCTGTGAGTGACATCTCGTATCCATCGTGGCAGAGTCAGTTGATTCGCAATCTCGATAGGTCTCTTTCCTGTCTCAGGTAGTTGAAGCAAGGTCAATTCCACGGTCCCTGGATGCTATGGATCGCATGAGTGAAGTGGGGATGGGTCAATATCCAGGGTTTTGAGGGAGTTCATTGTTGGTGCATTAGTAGTAGGTAGTTGATGTCTGAATGGAAAGGTATTAGCTTGCGATTAGTAAACAAAAAATTCACCATATCCCAGTGTTTCTTTTATTAGAATATGATGGGTTCTCGTGTTGTTTGTACGAAAAAGAAAAAGGTCGCATGGTGGCATCTTACATATCTTTGTCAATGCTACCCCAGGGACAAGCGAGGCGGTGATGTCATAAGCATTAGAATACCTATCGCGAACAGTCGAAGCTGATGCTAGAATGAACTTGAAGAGTCCAGTTTGAAGATGCTTTATAAGTGATTTGATGTAAACTCGATTCATGTATGATCGAGATCTGAGGGACTGATTGCTTCAGAAAATCATTCAAGATTGTCACCAAACTTGCTTAGATGGGCATGATTAATTCAGACCAACCCGCAACTCCAACTCCCGTAGCGGTGGGTCCGTCCCCTCAAACTACTTTACCTAATTCTAAGCGTAAGGTAAGCTTGGGTGCTTGTGGCACGTAATGCCCGGGCGCGCTAACCTGCAAATGATATCGCTGTAGAGGGCGGATGCATCCACCATGGGCATGACATGGCCATGGCCTCACTGGGCTGAGAGGTAACGGTCTCTCCGGGGAATCGGGAGGGGGGGATTTGCAGCGTGACCCGGCATTTCGGACGCATGAGATGTGATTGATGGATGGACGGATTCGATCTTAGATGGGTACCTAATATCTCTCAGATTTCAAGCAGCGCAGCATGTACTTACTGATTGGGTATCTAGTCAATCAATCTAGGCCCTGTATCTCTCTCCACTAGTGGGGGTATTGAGGGTTAATCATGCCTCTTGAGGAAGCCATCTCTGCAGTTGTAGTCTGGGTTTAATAATACTTAGGTCGTTATGGCTGTAGTTGAATCGTTCCATGATCAATATCCTGTACTACCTGCGTTAGCAAGTAAGGGAGTACCTATACTAGGTACCTACCTTACCTAGTCCAAACTCTCCATCCATCAGGCATGTGCTGTCCGTGTTCCTGCTTCCATTGCTTCGTGGTTTTTTTGGCTCCTGTGTCTTTCCCTTTCAGGTTACTTGCGACATTACACCTTATTTGAAATCATCCCTGAGCTGGCAGGCCCTTGTGCCCCCGCTCTTTCCGCTGTCTGCTTTCTTCTTTAGGCCCCATTACATTTTTGTCCAATTTCCAATATTTACCTTATCCTTTCAAATCAACATCTTCAGCCTTCTTCTCACAGCCTTGGGTGCCATCACCATTGCCCCCCTGCAGCGGCTGACTAACCGATTAGACGTCATCCTTGGTTTGGTCCCTGTCAATCTTGACCTTGCACCTGGCACCCGGCGCCCATCTACCGGGTTCGCCATCTAGAGTGCCGTATGTACAACACGGCACAGCGTACAGCGTACAGTTACCTATCTACCGCCCGCTGTGCTGCGCATTTACTGTGGTCTCTCTGCAGTGCGTATCTGCAACCACCCCTCGGCCTATTCTGGCCCCAGGCCTGGAAGCATCAAGAGACCCATCGACATCTAATCAACTCTGTGGCCCGGGGGGGCATCATGTTCTCTTCGTACTGAGACTCGACGTCAAATAGCCCTCGTTCCCGGCCTCGATGTCTCGGTTCTCCTCCTCTCTTTCCTTACCACCAGTCTCATTATCAGTATCAGACTACAGTCTCAATCTTGCATCAAGCTCAACAACACGTATACGTACACTCACATTTACATCTGCATCTTGCTCCTGCTCCTGCTCACGGTATACGCCTATCAAACCATTCTGTCTAGGTAGCTCAAATTCTTCCATTACCTCCTTGCTGTCTGACATAATAAAAGCGTAGTCAGCATAAGTCGTTTTTTCTAACGTACACCCACCACACTACCTCTTCAAAGTACAAGCCCATCTTACGGGCTACATATCAACCACCACGGATCCCAGAAGAAGAACCATTATGTCTCGCTCCGTGTCATCTTCACGGGGCTCTGAGTCTCCAATGGAGCCTGAACGTGCGCACAGAGCCTGTGAAAAGTGTACTCGTACCAAAAAGAAATGTGATAAAGCATTGCCTGCTTGTTCTCGCTGTACAAGGTGTGTAACTGCCCTTGCAACTCGATTTTCCGATCTTCTATGACTAACTCGCCAGACTTGCGACTACGTGCTCCTATGATTTTATCTACACGGCCCCAACAACCGCTGTTGTGGAACCTGGATATCTTGCAGGATCTACACCCAAAGAAGCATATGGACAGGGTATCTTTGACCCTGCTTTTGATGTTTCCAGCTCAATGGTAATGGCGTTACTGTCATCACGCAACATTCCTTGGCGCGAGGCAACCGAACGCTACTTTGAGACTATGAATCCCTGGTTCTCTGTAATCCATCCGGAGCTCTTTGCCATCCGTACGGACAACCTAGGGTCAGGGGCCAGCTCCAATGCCGATCAAGGACCCCGCGACCCTGCTGTTGCTCTCCTCATCGTCTGCATGCAGCTCGTCTCTCAGTACGATGATGAAGCTGCTGCCGCGAGCACTAATGTCAATGAGGGTAAGGACATGATCGAGATGCCAGCGTACAGGGCTGCTAAACGAGTCCTGAGCGTCTTACGTGGTCTTTCTGCTCCTAGCATTGAACTTGTCCAATGTTCCATCCTGCTGGCACTCTTTGAGTTTGGCCACGGTGATGTAATGCGTGCCTATGTGAGTATTGGAGATGCAAACACCATGGCCATGGT